TGATCCTGCCCTACCAGGTCTCCCACACCCACCTCCCCACCAATTTGGATCGCTTGTTGTTCCCTTGTCCCTGGGTTTGTTATCCCCTCTTCTTTAATTTTTACATAACACTCTTAACTTCAAATTCTAGAGCAAACAAAAATCAGGAAACCCTAAATCATTTTACCACAGTCATAAATAAAATAGAAGAGCCAGGATTCAAAATCAGATATGGCCTGAAAGTGCTCACTCTTCAATGCTATGTTACATTATCTTTTGATGTGAATTGTCAGTTGCAAGTAGGCAGCGTGTACAGATTAGAATAAGGTGGGCTTCCATAGACACTGGGGAACTGCATTAACATATGGCTCCCCACGGTCAAGCCTGCCTTACTTCACGGCTCACTTACTGTTCTTTTCATCCTGTGGACCAGTTCATACATTCGGATGCAACCTTCCACTTCAATTCCCCGGGAGGACCGAAGCAATATAGATTTCGTATGCTGGGGTTTATGTTTGCCCTAAATAGACAGAAAATAAAAAATTTAGGCTTTTATGATGGTAACTTTGTTATTATCCTTTCTAAATAAAGACCACATCCCTACTTATAAACAACAACAAAACCATTTGGGTTAGAACCAATGTGTACTTCATGATAGTAGCTGTGATAGGTAGGTTTACTGTGCCAACGTGGCCAATGAACACAGGAGGGATTAATTGAAGGGCTTGGCGAGCCTCGCCTTTCTTGTCTTTTGCGGCTGCCTTAGCTTGTTCTCTGCCTCAATTTGCAAGCTACACTACCTGTGGGACACCTAACCAGTGGACTGGGTCACTGTAATTTGAGGTTCCTTCAAAACCTGCTTTGCCACGCTACTGGAGTATACATCACTTGAGCTGGGGACTGTCGGATCCTGTCATCTGGCTGACTGTTGGTAACCTGCCTTGCTGTTTGCTGCCTGTGACCAGATAGCCTGAATTGCTCTACAGAGCACTACCTGGTGGCCCTCAAGACTTGAACGACTGCCAGTGTACTAGCTGTCTCACGGAAGTGAGTTGCACTGAGCCATTTGTACCACTTTATAGATTAACTGTTTATAAATATATATAAAATCATCAGTGTCCTGGTTTTGTTTCTCTAGAGAACCCTGTCTAACAGTGACGTTGGTCTACTTGTTTCCTTAGGAAGTTAATGTCTTGCTTTGGGTGGTGTTTGCTTGTTTTGTGGTACATCATGTATCTTTCTCCTTTCTTCTGATGAGTCCATTTATCCTGGGCAATTAAGATGGAGCCAACCGTAACCTCTTTTTCCACCCTCCTGGCTACAAGGGAAAGCACATATAACCAGCCAGGCAATCCAAGTATTCTATCTCCCTTTACCCACTGTCTACTTCAGAAATACAGCCTATGACTCAGGCTGGGGCGGAGTTTACCCTGTGCCAATTCTAATGAGAGATGGCTTTCTCTAAGAGGATGTGCACCTGGGGCAGGCAACCTACCACAGTGTACCTGAACATCAAAACCCAGGCAGAGCAGCGGAGGGATAGGAAGACAACATCCTGTGTCTAAGTCACTAGATCCAGTCAGAAATTACATCAAGCAATGACAAATCAAATGCAGATCTTTTAGATCTAACTTTTTCATTCTAGACCCACTCTTAGACTTCCTAGTTATAAGAGCCTACCACTTGGTTAAGCTAGTTTAAAATGAGTTTGTTATTCAAGTACCAAAAGTTTCCTAAATGATATAATAATTCATCATTTAAGATCATCTAGGGAGTTTATTTAAACCACAAGAATTAAGAAATGTTATGCTTGGAGAGGATCTCTGCATTTTAGTTGTTATTAGATTTACTGATTTATAAACTGAGGCCCTTGAGGGACAAAAGGCCTGTCCAATGGCTTACCCCAACAATATCAAGTTCAGAAGTACAACCTGGGTCCTTCCTTCACACCCTGCTGTTCTTGAGAGGCTGCTCATGGAAACTTTTCTTTTTCTTTTGAAGTAAATGCAGGTTTATAGGAAGTTATTATACACATATACACACACACACACACACACACACACACTTAAAGGGAAGTGCTGTGTATTCTTCACTTAGTTTCCTCCAATAGTAAAAAAACTTTCATAACTATTCTAAAATATATAAAAAAGCAAATTAACTGGTGAAAACCACAATCTAATTTTTATTCAAATTTCACCTGTTTTTACACACACTCCTTTGTGTTTATTCTGTGTTATTATTGCTACAATCCATAGCGACAGAACAAATCAGTGTATATACATTTCTGTATAATTTTATTCTACATGTAGAATCACGTAACCACCAGAATCAACTACAAAAGTGTCCCATCACCACCGGGCACCTCCTCCACAGCCACAGCCATGGCCAGCGCCACAGCCACCTTTCTCATCATCCCTACTGCCCGGCAGCCACGACTTTGTTCTCCATCTGTTCTGCTATTTCCAGAAGGCAAAATAAACGGAATCATATTGAGAGCCTTGGTGGTACAATGGTAAGACTTTGGCTGCCAACCAAAAGGCTGGCTGTTTGAACCCACCAGCTGCTCTGAGGGAGAAAGATGTGGCGGCCTGCTTCTATAAAGATAACGCTTGAAAACCCAGAACAGTTCTAATTCTGCCTTACAGGGTTGCCACGAGGCAGAACTGACTTGACAGCAACAGGTCTGGTTTGTTCATCATCTTTTAAAATCATTTTATTGGGGGCTCGTACAATTCTTATTACAATCCACACATACATACATTGTGTCAAACACATTTGTACATGTGTTGCCATCATCATTTTCAAAACATTTGCTTTCTACCCGAGCCCTGGTTTATTCATTTTTCAACATAAAATTCTACTTAAAAAAACAACAACAACCCTATTTATTGACAAAGAAAATCAAGATAAAAGTCCTACATAAAAATAAATGGAATTTAATGATGAATTAACTTCTCAGAGAGCCAAACACTTTGCAAGAATCATTTTCTAGGTTTTGAAGGCTTAAGGCCTTAATCTCCTGGGACAGCGTCAAGAGGCATGACAATCTTCGTGCTCTGTCTCCTAGTGAGGGGAGTGGGGTACAAGGCCTTAAAAGCTGTGAGCAGTCATGTAAGATTCACCCATTGGTTTCTGTGCATTAGGAGAAAAAGAAAAAGAAGGAAACCAAGCCTCAGAGAAAAAATAAGTTTACATGGCCAAGAGGTTACAGAAGCCACAGCCTCATCTACCTACAGACCAGAAATAGATGTGCCACGTTACTGACTATTCAAGACCACACAGACAAACAGGAGAAAAACATAGCACAGAATTCTTGAAAAGTTCAGACTTACTCCACCAGTTGACTAAAGGACTCCCTGAGCTAGTCTTTAAACTGTGACCTGAACCGACCACCAGGTAACATTTTAGTGAAATGATTGGCACACAAAGTCAAGGGTACTGCACAAAAATGAAGAAAATATTCTAAAACAGATTTTAAATTTTAGTGATGACTGAACAACTCTCTACTATATTCAAACCACGGCATTGTTTGGTACATCAATAAAACCACTTAAAACCTTTTTAAAGCAAATATTATCTGTGAGTAGTTTGCCATTGTAAAAACAAAGAGGTCAACCATTATTCTAAAGCCAAGATAAAAGAGAAAGGAGCAGAGAAATTACGAGTACTAGAAATGAAACAACCAGACTAATATATTGTCAACAATGTAGTTAATGTAATGAAACAATTTATATAGACAGTGTCTAATGAAAAGCTAATTTGCTACTTAACTTCACCAAAACATGAGCAGATGTTATTAAAATAACAATAGTAAATTAGACATGGAGGCCAACAAGGTCAAAATCACTAAGGATGACACGTAGCTTTCAGCTTTAAATAAGAGGGCCGAGAATAAGTGCCCACTCCCGACAGAAGGCCAGGTCCATGACCAGGCCGGGTTGGCTGGGGCGATGCGAGAGAAGGATACATAATTGTATCCTTACATACATACATAATGGTTTTAGATATACCGGTATATATACTTCGAGAAGCTTCAGATTACTAATTGGAAATAACATGCAGACAGCTAGACACTAGGTTCTGGGTTAAAGAAAATAAAGATCATAAAGCTGTGAATTGTCTGCAAATAGAAGAGTTAGCAGGGCTAAGACCTATCTAGCAAGATTAAGAAGCAAAAGGCTTAGAACTAAGCCTTAAAGAACCCCAGTGTTGTTCAAAACAGGAAAGTAAGCCTGAGAAGGGACAGAAGAACAGTTAGTGGTCTTTGATTAGCTTCCTTGCTTTGTGCCCCAGGCTTATCTTGTAGTTCTCATCTAAGTCCTGCAATCTACCATTTCCTCACCAAATTTTTGGTTGCTCTCATGTGAAAGATATTTAAACCCCTCAAACTGGATACTCAGGTTGTTTGTTCATTGTTATAGGGTTATATTATTTCTTCTCTTTGCATTGGACAGAGCTAAAAAATTTTTTTTAAAGGAAAAAAAAACCAACAAGCTCACACTAATATATATATATTTAAAATCATTTTACTGGGGGCTCGTACTTTTTTTTTTTTCATACAACTCTTATCACAATCCATACATACATTCATTGTGTCAAGCACATCTGCATATCTATTGCCCTCATCATTCTCAAAACATTTCTTTTCTATTTGAGCCCCTGGTCACACTAATACTGTTATAGAAAATGTTAAGACTACTGTGTTTCTTACCCTAATATCTTTAATTTTTATATTTGTATTTCTTTCAATGCTAGAAATGTTTTTTAATTATTAACATTATTATTAATCCTACAAAATCTCTATAATGCCATTAAAACTGTCACTTAGTACTGTGTCTTAATGTCACTCTAGGTAATTATACTTTCTCTTCGTGGGTTATACCCTAACTTGTTATAAAACAATGTTTGCTTGTTTCTAATTATTTTCTATTTTTAGGGGTTGTTTTCTGGAATAGAAAGTAGAGTTCTAAAAATATTATCCTGCACCTTGTTTTCTATTTTGCAATATATCCTGGAGCTCACACCAAATGAATATGTGTCTCTCATTCCTTTTTAGTCGCATACTACTCCAACTACATAGGTATACCAAAGTTTATTAAGCCAATCCCTTTTTAATAGTTTTTGGCATTATTTCTTATCTTTTGCTGTTATATATGGTTAATACTGCTGTGAATAGTTTTAAGCCGGGGTCCTCAAACTTTTAAAACAGGGGGCCAGTTCACTGTCCCTCAGACCCGTTGGAGGGACAGTGGAGGGCCGGACTATAGCTTAAAAAAAAACCTATGAACAAATTCCTATGCACACTGCACATATCTTATTTTGAAGTAAAAAAACAAATGGGGCAAAAACACCCAGGGGGCCGGATAAACGTCCTCGGTGGGCCACATGTGGCCCTCGGGCCGTAGTTTGAGGACCCCTGGCTTTAAGTGTACATTCTTTTTCATTCTTACCAGAATAAAAAAGAAAACTAAATCCAAACCTGTTGTCCAGTGGATTTCTACTTAGAAGGGCCCTGGACGACAAAGTCGCACTGCTTCCCAGGGATTGTGAAGCTGTCAGTCTTTCTGGAAGCACACTGCTACATCTTTTTCTGGCAAAGTAGCTGTTGGTTTCAAACCACCAAGGCTCAGGTTAGCAGCGCTGGTGGTGCAGTGGTTAAAGAGCATGCTATGAGCCAAAATATACTCTATTCTTAGTACTTGAAATGGGAATTTCTCCTTCTAGGGCTTCTTAGAGACCACTCACTAGGTGACGCAATGAGCCATGTCCCTACAAACAGGTGCAACAAAAAGCCATTTTCCCCAAGGTAAGGTCATTCTCATAGGACAGTATTAGACACTTCCATTTTGCAGCAACCAAGTCTTCGGTCTTAAGATGACTGAAACTTTACCTTGGCTCCATTTGGTGGTGGTGTTGGGGAGGCTGGTGAGAATTCAGGACTTTGCCTATGGGATTTGGGAACAAATGAGAGCTGGTCTCCGGCCGCAGTAGCTTCAGGTGATGCTGCTGTCTCCGCAGGTGGTGCGTTCCCTTGCGTATGGGATAAGACATGATCTACCACCCACCCAGAGTAAGCAGACAGCTTGGGAGTAGACATGCATTCTTCTAAAACATCCTACAGAGAAAAGAAGAGTTAAGCTCAGTGGGCTGTCCTGAAAGCCACCGCCACAGATTCAATTCTGACTCACAGCCCCCTTTAGACAGGGTTTCCAAGTCTGTCCATCTGCACAGGAACACACGGCCACATCTTTCTCCCAAGGAAAGGTCTGTGGGTTTAAACCTCCAACCTTGAGGGTAGCAGCTCAGTGCTGAAACCACTGAAACCCCCCACCCCCACCCCCAGGCTCCCTGGAAGCCTTCAAGAGCCTAAAAGAACACCAAACCCTAAAGTAATTCCATTAACAAATGGAGATAAAAAGAAAGTGTTCCCTTGATAATGATCCTGATTATTAGTCCTCCTCTCAAGACTAAGTAATCCTGGCTCCGGAAAAAAAAAAAAAAAAAAGGAACAAGGCAGATTGACACACGAGTCTATTTGAAAACAATCTAATTGAACATAGGAACCGAACACAACAAGACACACACACACACCGCCACTTCTCATTTTAATTTCACATTTCCTTCGGGCTCCTACTTATAGTTCTTCTGCAGTAGCCTCAGCCGGACAGCTCTACGTTCGTCTCAGGTTGGTAGGGGGGACCACCAGAAGAATTTGAAAGGATCACATGTGGTTGTTAGGGGCCGTGGAGTTGCCTCGAACTTAAAACGACCCAACGAAACCCTGCGGAGTCCTGTACCAGCCTGGCCATTGTGAAGTCTGCGGCCATGGGAGACGCGCCGTTACTGAGAAGCCAGAATTAGGCGGCGCCTAACCGTAGCCTGCAAGCCCCGCCGACAGCTAAACGAGGCTGGGCATGAAGGGCCGCTAGACAGGAAGGCACAGACGCCGCGGGGGAAACGGGAGAAACACAGATGGTGCGAAAGCTTGCACGGGACCCCGACAAGAGGACGTGCCGAGCTGAAGAAGAGCTGGGTCCCGCTCGAGGCGGAGTTGTCTCGAGGGCCGAAGGCTCGAACCCACTCCGGGGCCGTCCGCTCACCTCGCCTCGCAGCTGCCAATCACGGCTGTAGGGCAGGCGGCCCTTGTCAGACCTGCGTAGCGCCCGCAGGGTCTCCCAGGAGCGGCCCTCGGAAGGCATAGCGGGACCGGCGGTAGCCTCCCGGTGCCGCGGATTTACAGCAAAACCAACCCTCCAATCAGCCGCCCGGAAACGGGCATTTGCTTCCGCTTCCGGGGCGCGACACGGACGCCCCGCCTCCCCTAACGGTAGCGCCCCGCCCCTGGCATTTGCCCAGCCGACGCGTGCTCTGGGGCCGGGAGCGCTAGCTCTGGTAGCTGTGTCCCCCTGGTCCTGCTATTTGGTGTTACGTTATAGCAAGTCCAAGACTGTTGATCAGGATATGCAAGTATTGGAACCCCTGTACCCAGCGCCTGGAAACGTAAAAGGGTGCAGCCTCTGGAAAAGTCTGGCAAGTCCTCAAAAGATTGAGCGTAGTTAGCACGAGCCCACAATTTGACATATGTATATACAATATTCATAAACTCAAGTTAAAATAAATACAGCCACACAAAACTTGTAAACAAGTGTTTATAACAATTTTTCTAATAACCAACAAGTGGACAGCACCAAATGTCCAACTCGTGAATGGATAAGAAAATATAGCCTTAAAAAATGAGCTGATGCTAGGGGCTTAGGTTGAGAGCAAATGTTTTGAGAATGATGAGGGCAATGAATGTACAAATGTGCTTTACACAATGGATGGATGTATGGATTGTGATGAGTTGTACAAGCCCCCAATAAAATGATTTTTTTAAAAAGGGGGGGCCCACTGATACATGAGTCATGAAAGCAGGCACAAATGACCACATATTTTTATTCCATTTATGTAAAATATCCAGCATAAGCAAATCCTTAGAAACAGTAGATTAGTGGTTGCTAGAGGTTGGAGGGAGGACTATTGCCAACAGATAAAGGGGTATTTTGGGGGGAAGAGGAAGCAGGGGTAAAAAGTTGGTAGTCGTGATGGTTCTACCACTTTGTGACTATACTAAAAACTGCTGCATTGTACACTTTGAGTGCATTTTATATCTCAATAAATATAAATCAGGATTAATAATTGCCCATATTGACCTTTTAAAACTAGGAACCCAGACTTCTTCACCAGTCGATTACCCACTATACTTCTTGGGATCTGAGTTTGAGGTAGGAAGGCTTCTCTCCTAGAGTTTGAAGCAATATAAACATTAAATCTCTGGTATTTTACAAGCTCCTTATACATTTTGTGACAAAAGAAAAACAGTGAGCATTGTTGGAAGAGTTCTAGCAATCGGGGTTTCCCACACAGTCATCTAACCAGGAAATGTTCACCTGTATGGTGAAACCAAGGAGGATACATAGGGATGAACTTGTCGGATGTACTCATTGGTATTGAAGTTTGCCAACTGTCATTTTTTGGTAAGATCTTTCAGATATTAAGTTCAAGTCCATGTACCTTAAGGGCGTGAAAATGGCTTGATTTTTGTGGCAATGGTAGCTGTAGGATTTTTTGTTTGCTTTTTTAATGACTTTCCTTGGTGAAATTAAAAGATGAAAACTCCAAGATTTTTCGGGTTTATAAATCCATATATCTGAATGGGACACCCATTGCCTTCAAGGACAGACTTAGGTTGGAGTGACTAAGAAGGGCAACTTGGATCACCTAGGAAACCAACACTAGCTAGAATGGAAAGGTTAGCGTTCAGCACAGCAGCACCATATTTGTATTTTTTCCCATAAATTTGTTCTTTGAAATAAAGGGAAATATGAAGGGAACAAAAATCTTTCAGAAATCAGTTAATATTTTTAAAATAAAACTACATACACATTTTCACCTCCCCCGAACAGTGAAAGTGGTTTGCCCCAAGACCCTGAGCAATGCCTGACAAAGTCTATCTCCTCCAGACGTGTCACACAAGATTGTGTGCGTACTCTCAAAGGGAGAGAAGCACACGGGCCACATGAAATGCCCAATGTTCCATGTACCCAGCATTTTAAATATGCTGACTGGCCCTCCTGCAACACTTTATGAAAAAGTATTCCTAAGCTTTTATTAATCAATTTTAGAAAAGGGATAGGTTATGTAATGGAAATCACTCAATAAAGTCTTAAATACTGATTATAAAAATCTTTTGGTAATACACAAGTATGTCAAGAATACATTTTTATAAATACAAACCAGACAAAGAAAAACAACAACAAAATTAATGAGACTGGGGTTACATTTTTTTTTAAATCCAATAGGACATGAGTCCTAAGGGCATCTAGGGTGAAGTGCTTAGAGGCAAGTGCCCTCAAGAAAAAGCTTAGGCAAGAGAGGTTGTCACTGAACTTCAGAAAGGAACTCTGGGCAAGACACAACACGCACGAAATGAAAAATATAGCACTTGCAGGTGCTTGCAAGTCCAGGAGGGGTGGGGTGGTGGGGTGAGGGGGTCTAGGAGGAAGGCAGACCTCTAGGCAACAGCTCCTGCTGATTCGCATCAGAGAAAACCCCAGAGGGAAATGACTCAGAGAAGGGCTAGAAGGGGCCTAGAGGAATAGGCTCAGTCCAAGCATTCTCTGGAGGAAAGGAATGAGTAAGGTCCTAGTGAGTTAAAATCTGGTACCATAGGGTCATTAGTTGAAAACAGCCTGCCAAAGGAATTTAAACATTTCCATCAGGCAACTATCTCAGGGAAGAAAGATCCAACCGGGCTCCTGAAAAACCACTGCACTCCCCAGCCACGTTAGGGACTGTTCTGGAGCCAGCAGCTCAGGACAAAACCCTGGGCACATTTCACTACTGGAAAGGAGAGGAAAACCAATAGGCTGTCTCAGTATGGGTTGGCAACCCCACAGTTTCCATGGCAACAATCGGGCCTCCTGGCTCAAGATGGGTAGCCTCAGGCAGGAGGAGACCTGGAACGGATGGGAGAACTGGTCAGGTAGGTGGTATAGGGACCATCGCCAAACACATTGGCGTAGGACGACTTCAGGAACTGGACATAGTTCTGCATGCTTCGATTGGTGCTCTCTGACTGCTCCAGGCGATCTTTCAGGTCCTGCAGGCGGCTCTGGTAACGGCGGTCTGCCTAAGAGGAGATAAACAGGGAGAGCTTGGGTGGAGGGCAGGAACAGCAGGTCGGGTTCAGGTGGTCCCCTCTCCTCCCCATGACAGAGTTAATGCACTGAGTTGAATAGTTAGTCTCACTTTTCGGTCCTCCCTCATAGATACTGGATTTCTTCACCCCCCTTTCAACATATTCCCCAAGGCTGACCTAACAGAAACTTATTATCTAAGATGAAATTATATACAAAAGTAGAAAATTGGGGGTAATTGGAGGAGCGTTAAGTCCTGTGACCTTTATCAAAGGCAAAAAGGTGAAGACTAGGGTAGAAAAGGCATTCGGTGAATATTGGTCTAAATGAGAGTTTACACTGTTATGATTCATGTAAATTATATTGTACAATCATACTACCTGGGTTCCTAAAGATTCGGCTCCATATTTATAAAGTGAGGATATAACCTTTGTCCTCAGGCTCATTGAAACATTCAACTTCCTAAATAACCCTATGTCCACCACATACGGAAAGAACGATGCGAAAACCTTGCCTGCTAGTAAGAATGAGAGCAGCACCAGAACCAAGAGCTAAATCAACAAAGACCCACATGAGGTGAGTCTCTCACTGCAGGCGCTGTGCCACTGGTGGAGAGGCTCTCTCCACTGGAGGTCCCAAGGAGCTCAGCCCCATGAAAGGCATTAATACGCATCAGCGGTGCAAATGGAAAGCTGGGTTACAAGCCCAGCCAAGGACAGACACAGTCCCCTCCTTTCTTTTCTCTCTCCAGAACCCAACTGATCAAAGGAAACAGACAAAGGAAGAACGGTCTTTGGTCCACCCTGCAAGGTCTCTTTAGTCTCAGGTCAAGCCTGGACTGAAGGGAAAAGAGGAAATTAAAGTAAATGGATCAAACAGATGGATTCTTAAAATAGCATCAAAATGAATAAAATACTTTGGAACAAATTTAGCAAAAGAAGTATGAGACTTGTGCTTCTGAAAACGATAAAACATCTTTGAAAGATATTAAAAAAAACCTAAGCGCATAGAAATGCATCCTGGGTTCACGCATCAGAAGACAATATTGTTAAGAAGGCATTACTTCAAATTTATCCAGACATACCACCAAAACCAAATCTACGGCTTGGCCAATTCTAACTCACAGCCATCCTATATAGTTCCCAAGATGCCAATCTGTCAAGGAGCAGACAGCCTCATTGTTCTGTCAAAGCAGCTGCTGGGTTTGAACTGCTGACCTAGCAGCTAGCAGCCAAACACATAACTCAATGGCAAAGGGCTGCCCCATAGAGACAATACAATCTCTAGCAAAATCTTAGCTGGCTCACCTCAGTTTATGCTAAATTTCATATGGAAATTCAAGAGACCAAAAAAAATCAACCATCTCTATGGTACTTGGACGTAAAGGCAAATGTCTATCAATGGAATAAATTTGAGAGTTGAGAAGTAGATTCTTATATTTAAGGTCAATTGATAGTGTACCAACCTAACTAAGAAAAAATAATCGTCTTTTCAGTAAATGGTGATGGGACAGCTGGTTATCCAAATGAAGGAGGAAGCTATAGAAAGAGCACTTACCCTACACCCTATACAAAAATGAACTCAAACGGAACCACAGACCTAAAGGTTAACTTCCAAAAGCACTCAACTCTGAGGAAGAATGGACTAGACCTTTGCAATCTTGGATTAGGAAATTATTTCTTTTTCTTAACAGTCTTACTGACATGTACGTCACTGCTCCGTTATATCAATCGCTCGGTTATATCAGAGTTGTCCAGTCATCACCAGTCAGTTGCAGAACATTGTCTTCCTGCTTGGGTTCACTGCTAGTAGCTCCCCATTCCCTTCTGACCCCCCTTCCCACACCGCCAGTGAACTCTTACTGTCTCTATAGATTTACCTATCCTGGATTTAGCAAATGATTTCTAACATGTGATACAGCATTAAAAAAAGAAAGAAAAATTGGACCTTAGAGAAATTTAAAATGTTTGTATTTCAAAGTACACCACCAGGAGGGTGAAAAGACAATCTGTAAAATAGTAGAAAATATCTGTAAATGGTTTATCTGATAAGGGGCTTATATTCAGAATACATTTGTAAAACTCTTAAAAGCCAACAATAAAAAGCTAACTCAATTTTTAAATGGGCAAAGGATTTGAATAGACCTATTTTCCCTAAAGAAGATCTACAAATGGCAAGATGTCCAGCATCACAAGATGTCCAGCATCACTTCACCCCCTGTGCTTGCGTTGCTGGGCGCTGGTGAGTTGGTGTCAATGCATCACCACCCTGTGTCCAACAGAACGAAGCCTAGTCACTCCCGAGGCATCTCCACAATCATTCCCAGTTTTAAGCCCAATGTTGCAACCACTGTGTCAATCCATCTCATTTCATCAAACACAATGACCTTCTTCAGGAACTGGTTCCTCCTGATACTATGTCCCAAGTACATAAGCTGAAGGTCACCAATCTCACTCAAGAGCATCCTGGAGGAAAAACAACCTGGAGAAAACAACAGGTCTGATGGTTCCAGGTGGCATGGGAGAGGGGGAGGTGGGGGAAAGGAAGTGATGTGAACTAACCCAGGGACAATGGAACAAGTGATCCAAAATCAGTGGCAAGGAGGATGTAAGAGGCCTGGTAGGGATTGATCAAGGGCAATGTAACCGATAGGAATTACTAAAACCCAAATGAAAGCTGGGCATGATAGTGGGACAAGAGGAAAGTAAAAGGAAATAAGAGGAAAGAACTAGGAGGCAAAGGGCATTTATAGAGGTCTAAATACAGGCATTTGTTGCCATCATCATTTCCAAAATATTTTCTTTCTACTTGAACCCTTGGTATCAGCTCCACATTTTCCCCCCTCCTTTGCCTTCCCTCATGAACCCTTGATAATTTATAAATTATTATTTTTCATGCCTTGCACTGTCCAATGACTCCCTTTACCCCCCTTGTCTGTTGTCCATCCCCTTGGGAGGGGGTTATAGGTAGGTCATTGTGATCAGTTCCCCCTTACTACCCCCGCCTGCCCCCTCCCCTCCCCTCCTGGTAAGGCTACTCTCAATACTGGTCCCATATTCCCTGTGCTTCCAACTCTATCTCTGGTCTAGCCAGATTTGTAAGGTAGAATTAGGGTCATGATAGTCGGGGAGAGGAAGCATTAAAGAACTAAAGGAAAGCTGTATGTTTCATCAGTGTTATTACTGCACCCTGACTGGCCTGTCTTCTCCCCACGGCCCTTCTGTAAGGGGATACCCAATTGATTACAGATTGGCTTTGGGTCTTCACTCCACACTCCTCCCCATTCACATTATGATTTTTTGCTCTGGGTCTTTGATGCCTGATACCTGGTCCCCTCGATACCTCATGTGGGCTGTTGCTTCTCAGCTAGATGACTGTTTGTTTATCTTCAAGCCTTTGAGACCCCAGATGCTCTATCTTTGATAGCTGGGCACCATCAGCTTTCTTCACCACATTTGCTTATGCACCTGCTTTGTCTTCAGTGATCATGTCGGGAAGGTGAGCATCTCAGAGTGCCGGATTATTAGAACACAGTGTTCTTGTGTTGAGGGAGTACTTGAGTAAAGGCCCAATGTCCCTCTGCTTCCTTAATACTAAACTTATAAATATATGCACAGAGATCTATTTCCCCATCATCATATACATATTTACCTCTATAAATGCCCTTTGCCTCCTAGTTCTTTCCTCTATTTCCTTTCACTTTTCTCTTGTCCCACTATCATGCTCAGCCTTCATTTGGGTTTCAGTAATTCCTCTCGGTTGCATTGCCCTTGATCACGCCCTACCAGACCTCCTATGATTTTTGGTCACTTGTTATTCCGTTGTCCCTGGGTTTATGAACATCCACTTCCTTTCCCCGGCCTCCCCCTCTCCCATGTTCCCTAGGAACTGGCGTTCTGTTGTTCTGTCTTCTGGCTTGTTCATCCCACCTATCCTATCCAAATAGACATGCAGCGACAACAGTATCACAAACAAAGACCGAGCACAACAAAGCAACAATTGAAAATAAAACAATAGCTACAACAACAAAAAAGGCAACAACAGAAAAAAGAAAAGCCGATAAACAGTTCAAGGTCTATTTGTTGTCCTTTACGAGTGTTTTCCAGTTGAGTCTGATGGGGCACCAGGCCCTCACCCCACAATCTATTTTTGCTGTTCCCTGGGGACTTGATTGCTCTGCTCCCTTTGCTGCTCTGTTGCACGCCCCCAGGGTCTTGCCTCAGTGTGGTGGGGTCAGGGCCGGCACAATAACCGCATTGTGTCTCCAGTGTTGACCCCGTGGTGCTATTGGTCAGTGAGGAAGGTCATGTCTCATGGTGGGGCTGGCCCTATGGTCCTCTCTGTGCATTGGCTGCTCTGAGCAGAAATATTGTCCTCAGGGCTTGGTGGACCAGGATGTGCTTCACTCTTTTTCCCTCCCCACTCGTTTGCTCTTGTATGCTCTGATCAGACACGAAATTTCTTAGTATAGATTGGTGAGCACCTCCATCACGCCAACATTTCTACTGATATTCTGTCAATTCCTGGAGTGAGAGACCTCAGTGCCACTACGCAAGCACTAGCCATAGGAATGGCGAGCAGGCGTTGTGCAAGACGTGCAACAATCAGAAGCCTCAGAACTGACGCTAGGAATGTAAAATAGCGAAGCTACTTTGTAGAAGGATCTGGCAGCTCCTCAAAAAACTACATGCCACACCAACATCAGTCACACTGAAGGGTGGTAAATCAGATAATCCAAAGTCAGAGGAGGGATTAGTATCAGAGGCTAAATTGTGAGAATCCAGTTTGCAGAAGGTTATGGATGACGGTGGGAGCCCAAGATGCATTTATGGGATCTACATAAGAAGTAAGTCTCGGGTGATTTCCAACCATAATAGTGGGATAGGAGGAAAACGGTTACCAAATAGAGTGCACTGGAGAGATGGATATAGGAGATCAAAATGATAAGCCTGATTTGAATGGTTAAACCTTGGCAGTTGATTCCCCCCTCTGAAGCAGGTTACGTCCTGAATGTCAACATTTTTTTATATATTTTTTGGTTGTTTGTTCATATAGAGGTTTATCTCAGATGTGCTATGCCATTGGGGTCACCTTATTGAACTTGTGGTATATGGTTTTCTGCTTTTCAGTATATGAAACCCAGGATTGGTGAACCTATCCTGAGTTTCTGGGGGTAGAATAAGGGTTTCTGGGGATACAGTGGGCGGGCGGGGGGTTGGGGGGGTAGCAAAAGGTAACTGATATCAAGGAGTTCAAGAAAGAAAAGAATGTTTGGAAACTGATGGTGTTAGCAACTATACAATACTGCTTGCTATGATTGAACTATGGAATGATATAACTGTATTAACTCCCAATGAAATGTTTTGTTTTGTTTATTTTATAAAAGGTCTATACGTCAAAATGGACATAAAGGCATTGGGTCTGATTTTTTTTTTTTAATCATATGACCCTGGCTGGTTATATAACCACCCCTAAGAGAAATGGAAAATACAGTCACACAATTTAATTGTACAGAAGTTCATGGCAGTTCCTAATAAAGCAACAGAAGCAAAAATCCAAATGCCTGTCAACTGATGGACAAATTAACTATGTATCCCTATCTTGATACACTATGTAACAATAAAAAAACAAGTGTAATTCTGATACATGCTACAAGTCTGATGAGCCTTCAAAACAGTATTCAAAGTGAAAGAAGCCAGTCACAAATCAACCTACCAACCACACACTATAAGGCTGCGTTTGCTAAGAGGTCCGGCAGAGACAGAATGCGCTGACTTTATTTACGCACATTGCCGCTAGACCATGTGGGAGGAGGGTGTGGGAGCTTCATTTTGAAAATGTCCTAAACGTAAATGGTGGTAGTAACATGACAGCATTTGAAAATGATTGGTCCAATCCGAACGAGTGAGTTTTCGACTATGCAAAAGGGAAGAAAGGGAAGTCTGTCTGAAATATCCTTAAGGAATGGGAGTGTGTTTGGAGAAAAAATCAAAATCACATGCTCCTCCAGTCACCACCACCGCTGGGCCCGGCAAGCCCCACACCAAACTCACTGCCTCGAGTCAACCCTGACTCACAGTGAGAGAGTCGCACTGCCTCACAGGGTGCAAGCAAGCAGCAGTTCAGATTGCAGCCCAGATGCTTAGCCCAATGTACCACCCACGGTTGCTTTGCAAGCCCCGGAAACCAAAATAATTAACCAAAACTCCCTGCCATGGCAACCCTATGGGACGGGGTAGAACTTCCCTGTGAGTTTCTGAGACGGTCACTCTTATGGAAATAGACCCCTCTCTCTCCCAAGGAGCAACTAGGGTTCAAACTGCTGACCTTTTGGTCAGCAGCCCAACATGCAACCACGACACCACCAGGGCCCCTTTTGCAAGTCCCCGAGAGAGCTTGAACTCTTAACCCTCTCCCTCCCCACCAGCCCTGCTCACATCATCCCGGCTCCGTCGTAGCTGGGTGAGTTCTGTTTTGGTTCTGCTCAGCTGGGTCTCCAGGTCCAAGATTTTGTTCTGGGCCGCTCGCTCCTTGGAGACTGCGTGCTCCTTCGTTTGCTCCACCTGCGCAGAAGACACCCAAGACGACGACCTGGGAGAGGGCTACACCTCGCCCACTACGGAGTCCCGCAGACAGCACCGGTGTATCAGCTCAGAACCTCTGGAGCCTCAAAGGAGGAGCAAGAACCAAGGTCTGCTTCTGCAGCCCAGAAACCTGCCCTTTCCCAAGGCCCAGGAGACATTCCTGAGGAGGCAACGAACCAGCCTGAATCCCAATCAAGCAGCAATGCAATCACAATCACCTTGGATAACGTGCTCAGGCTTTTACAATACTCATTTGATCCGTAGAATACCTTCCTACGGCAAGTACTATGATTACGCCTATTTTTCAGATGGAAAAGACCTGATGGTGCAATGGTTAAGCACTCAGCTGCTTCCATACACACTTAGGGCCACGGATATGTCAGTTCTACCCTAGCCTCTGGGGTTGCTATGAGCCAAAGAGCAGTGAGTTTTTTGGTTTGTTTTGAGTTGAATGGCACAGGTCGGCTTAAAGAGGTTAGATTTCCCCAGTCAAAGAGCGAGGTAGCGAGGGAATGGGATGGACTGACCTGCCTCCTGGTGTCTTCAATGGCACTCTCCAACTGCCTTGCCAGGGTCCCACATTCCCGGGTCTTCTCCTCCAGCCGCAGCTGGGACTGGTGGATTGCCTCCTCCCTCTTGGCAATCACCTGTAGGAACTCGATGTTCTGGGCACTGGTCGCCTCCAGTTTCCTAGGTGAGAGCATTCGATCAGATCTCCTCAGGCCCTACCCGGTCTGTTTGACCCCACCGGGGGGCTGTCACCACACCGAGAATCTCCAAGGGCCAGAGGAAAAAGCCAGACATGTGCAGATCAGCAAGCAGACCCGGGACCTGCAGAAGCTGGTTAGAGCGCATTAGGAGGAGCAGGAGGAGCAATCCGGGGCTGAGTGCGGGCAGTGCATCTGTGCCCCTCATCACGGTAATGCAGCCACATGCAGCTCAGGTGCAGCTGATGAAACCGAGGGGGAAGCCCAAGGCCAGCACAGGTGGCAGGTCTGTCGCCAAAACCTATGCCTCCAGCTTGTACTGCTCGCCGCCGCCGCTGCCTCTCTCAGCCAAAGGGCTTTCAGATGAACCTGTCAACATCCTATAGACACGCCACCGGTCAGCAGTGACCATCCCGATGCACTTCCAGACCACCTTCCAACCCAAGGAGCTCTCTAAGTTCTCCTGAGCTGAGGTGGGGTCCCGGAGGAGACCACCTGATCCACGTCTCAGTGGCCAGGTGCATTAACCGCCCGCCTATCTCAGCAGTTCCAGCCTCCTAGGGCCTCAGGTTCTTCAGCTCTACAACGAAGGCCCGATCCCTGCCAGGGCGATCTAGCTCGCATTTATAGATGTTACCCCAAACTCTTCAGAGGCCTGATGGCACAGTGGTTAGATCATCTGCCAAGCCAAAGGTCTGTGATTCTCTCCATGGGACAAAGAGGGGCCACTCTGCTTCCATGCAGATTTACAGCCTTACACCCCCAAAGGCGCAGTTCTACCATATCCTGTAGGTTTGCTATGAGCTGGAATTGACCGTGGGGATGTGTTTGCTTTGCAACACAGACTTTGAAGCAAGGGAGTCACAGGTCTAAGTTGCAGCTTTGCCAGGGACAGCTGTCCTTGAGCAGGTCCCTTAACCCTTTCCAAGACTGTTTCCTATTTAAAATCGGAATGACCCCGGCTAGGGTATATGGAACATTTCTCAACCCCGCTTGGGGACATCATCTTCGTGAAGACCCACATGAGCCCTACGAGTCAGATTATTACCCCTACACCTCGATCCCTCACTCAAGATGAACAACACTTGAGGCTCACAAGGGTTCCATGATTTGCTCAAGGTAATAACGGAAGTCGGTTCCATGGCAGAGCTGGGACTCAAGGCCAGGGCTTCTCATTGCGACAGGTGAACTCTTCTCCTCTGATGGCCACCAACGGTCCATGAGTACGAGAAGAGTCAGAGCAGAAAAGGAGCAGGAAGAGGGAGTAATGTCCCCCCAGCAGTGTATCGACTGCTCCCCTCAAGCCAGGCTCTGCTGGGAGGAAGCACGTCTTTCTGATGCCTACCGGTGGTCTGGGTCTGATCTCGTGCTCTTGCGGCATCCCCACAAGCCGACAGAGCAGCTTCTGCCCTCCCGTGATGCTTACCACTGACACGGAAGCAGCTTCTCCTCTGAAGTCTGCCTAGAACCTTCCAGGGCTGTGAGTCCCTCAAACACTTCAGCACACCAAGCACCAAGCAGCTAAGTGGCTGAAAGTCTCAGGTCCTAGGAAGAGGACAGAGATGGGACCAAGTGCCTCTAACCTCTCCAGTTCATCCACCTTCAGACTCAGCTGTTTATTTTGCTTCTGGGAAGCCTGCTGTTTCTCTCTCGCCATCTCCAGCTTGTCGCCCTGGTGTTCGATCTAAAATGACAGGAACAGACTGGTTTACGAAAGAACTTCCTGGGACGGTCCTCCCTCTTTCCTAGGACCTGTCAGCCACACCCAGGAAAGAGGCGTGCTGCCCTCGGCAGGTGTCCAAGTCTCAGTGCACAACCTGAAGGAGAGAGGAGAGAGGAGAGCAGGCAAAGGTTAGGCCCGACGCCCATGACTGAAGGTGGTCCTGAAGAAACCATCATGACACTTCCTTCAAGAGGTGTCACTCAGAGGCCTGGCTGGAATCCAGGGCAGACGAGAGAAGGCAGAAGTTAGCCCACAGGACAGCCCCTGAGCTACAGTCCTTACCCATTACATTGTTGATCTTGATTGCCTTCTCCCTCTAACTGGGGCCACGAGCCGGCAAGGCAACAGGAAATCTACCAGTACTTTTTTAGTTGGCACCTTGAAGTCACCCAGAGGGCTACTTTCCGCAGAAGCCCCAGCCACTGGGGTCTCTCAGACCCGGGGGACGTTCAGCTGCACCAGAGACAGGGGCTTGGGATGCAGACTCAGCGAGACCGTAGGGAAGTCCCTGCTGCCCTCTAGGCCTTGGAATCTCTTCTGGAAAATGAGGGTAACGTGTGTACTTCACACTAAGTGCCTGGGCACATTAATGGAGGCGATGCTGGTAATCTGCATACTCGCATATGGAGCCAAGAGCAGGGAACAAAAGGATTGCCCAAGGTTACCATGCCAACAAGTGGCATATCTTTCTTGGGACAGCATAAACATGGTGCCAGTAACCCAGCAGCAGGCTGCTTCTGGGAGAGTGAGCGAGCCCTCTTTGGGGACAGAATCGCAGACAACGGATCTGTTAAGAGTACGGAAATGTTTTGTTAAAAGCAAGAGACAGGCTTGAAAGAAGCTATGGCTTGGAGTGAGCTCGTGTCTCTCCCCAGAGTGTGTGTGGCTGAGGACAGCTATCTAGCAGCAAAGGGCAGGAGGCAGAGGGAACTTGGAGCACTGAGAGGGCAGGGCAGGAGCAGGAGGGCCTACAATCCGAGTGAGTGACGGCTCTGGTAAGTAACTACAATCACTAGGTGCAAACACGAGGCTTTTGGCACACCAGACTTTTATTGCACAGCACTGATGATAGCTCACTCCTTTCAGAAAGCGGCAGCCAAGACAAAGGAAGTAGTCCTCCTTTGGGGGGCCATGCAGCTCATCTTGGTATGCGGGCCCCTACTCGGGTCAGTTCGTGGGACCCTTTCTGCCAGTCCCTTACCCGGCTGCGCAGGTCTGATATGATGGCGGTGAGGTCAATGTTCTTCCTCTCATAGCCCTGCAGCTGGTCCTGGCACTCTGCCAGCTTAGCCTCTGTGATCTTGAGGATGTCAGGAAGCTGCTGGAGGTCAGCCAGCTGGGACTGGAACTGCCGACGTGCCTGAAGTGGGGGAAAAGAGGCCACTGTTGGGGAGGGCCTTCCTGGAGTTAAGGAAGGGCTAGTCTCAGTCCTCAGAAGAGGACCCTGCAAAATCTTCCCAGCAGACCACTGAGGCGGTATCCGGCTGCTCTCTGAGGGGGACACACTTGGGGGGACGGATGTGACACTTGAACTTGCCACTCATTCTGTCACTGAACAACAGCAACCACCGTGCAGAGAGCACTAGGAGCCAGGCCTTGTACCACGGGCTCTCCAGTGGTTCATGTAATTCATAAAGTAGGTGCTGCTGTGCCCAGTGTGCAGATCAGGAAACTGAGGATCCATTACGGAACAAAGTGGTAACTCAGCTAGGAAATGGTAAAAGTCTGGATCAAAATCTACTCTTATCTCCCAGTGCAACCACCAGGCTGTGGGGTATCCAAGTCAAATGCTAAGATAGAAAAAGCAAACAAAAACCTGACTGCCATTGAGTCAACTCTGACTCTTAACGACCCTAAACAAAGCCCCTGGGGTTCTGCACAGCCTCATCTTTCTGCCTCAGAGGGAGAAACCACTGACCTTGTGGTCAGAAGCTCAAATTCGCATTCGCAGCCCACAACTCAGGACAGGCGTCCTCAAACATGCGCCGAGGACATTTATCCGGCCTGCCGGGTGTTTTTGCCCCGTTTGTTTTTTTACTTCAAGATATGATATGTGCAGTGTGCATAGGAATTTGATCATAGTTTTTTTTTTAACTATAGTCCGGCCCTTCAACAGGCCTGAGGGACAGTGAACTGGCCCTGTTTTAAAAATTTGAGGACCCCTGACTTAGGAGATGAGATCTAAGACTGAGTGATTAGCAACTAATTAGTGACCAGTCCTAGACTCTACCGATCTCCAATTTTGCCAGCCATGACCTCTCTTTGCTTCTAGAATAATCATATTCTTTGAGGAGGGAGTCGGGGGCATATTTTTTTGGTTGGCACAAGAAAAAGAAACCACACAGAATTAAGTAGGTATGTCTAAATCCTATCATACCTGTAGATTTAAGTCCATATGGATGATCTGAGCAAGTCAGTTTCTTATTTTGTAAAGGACGTTGAAGAGGAAAAAGCAAACCAGCCGGGGACAAAGATGCAACAGAAACAGAATTGACAAGAGAAGCGAGAGAACGCATATGTAGCCAAGTGCCCCAGACCCCCAGTAAGGAAATTAAGCTTTGTGTCTGAATGAGAGAAGGCTACAGGCCAACAAGAGGGACAGTTCTGCCACTGGGGGGAAGAGAGAAGGGAGAGGGAGCTGTACCGCTTCAATCTCTTTGTTCATCTCATCCTTAAGGATCTTATTCTCTTTGTCGCAGCGTTCCAGCTGGGCAGCCACTTCATCAGCTTCTAATCTAGTCTTCATCACCTAGGAACCAACCAAGCATCAGACCTTCTTGGGCAGAGCAGCCACGTTTTGGTAAACGTGTCTGAGAGCAGAGGAGGGAGAGGGAGTTTGCTGCCCTCAAAGGGGGCCCAAGGTGTTTGAGAGACTTACCTGGCTCTTATAGTTGTCAATCATCCCCTCATAGTTCTTAACTGATGCCTTCAACTGTTGGACCTCGAGGTGCGCCTGATTGAGTTTATCCTCCATTGGGGCGAAGCTAGCCTAGAAAAGGTGGCTCGTGAGTAATCAGCAGGAAAGTCCTCGACTCCATGCTATCCCACCTCAATTAGGGTAAGACTTGACTAGCACACAAGTAAACGACTTCTGTGTTGTCTTTTTCCTTGTTACAAAGAAGTACATGAGCAGCCAAGGATATGAAAACAAACCAGTGCTATTGAGTCAAAAAACCCCTGCAAGGCAGAGCAGAACTGCTCCAGGGTTTGTGTGGCGGGAAGTCTTCCAGGAAGCAGATGGCATCATCTGACTCCCACAGAGAGGCTGTTTGCTTCAAATCACTAACCCTTCCGTTAGCTCCTCGATGCTTACCACACTGGGCTTCTTAAATGAAGCTGAGACAAAGGGGGTAAGGGGAACTCCTCCTGACTGCATAGTGCCTTGGTATAAGACAACGTAGCCCCCCAACTACCAGGACCCCAATTCTGCCTTGCAGACCTGGTTAGACCAGATGATGCACAGTGGTACAGATGGGAATTGGAAATGCAGGGAATCTAGGACAGATGAACCTCTCAGGACCAGGGGTGACAGTGGCGAAACCAGGAGGGAAAGGGGGTGTAGAAAGGGGGAATTGATCACAGGGAGCTACATATAACCTCCTCTCTGGGGGACAGGCAGCAGAGGGGTGGGTGAAGAGAGACGCCGGGCAGTGTAATATAAGATACAATAATAATTTATAAATTATCAAGGATGCATGGGGGAGAGGGGAGGAGGAAGGGAGGGTAAGGGGAAAAAAGGAAAATGAGCTGATTCCGGGAACCCAAGAGGAAAGGGAATTTTGGGAATAATGAGGGCAACAAATGTATAAATGTGCTTTACACAATTGAACTATGTATTGTGATGAATTGTATAAGCCCCAATAAATTGATTAAAAAAAAAAAAAGACAACGTAGCTATAGATCTGTGACTATTTTACTTTTTAACATAAAAATAGGAGTATACTGTACTTCCTGCTCGGTAGCCTACCTGTCTAAAATTACTATCTCGTGACCTTCTTTTTAAGGTAATAGACCCTCCTACAACCCAAATGCTCCCCTAAGTGGATGGGACAAAACCAGTGTCTCAGCACTGTGCAGTAATCAGCTGTCACTGAAAAGAGAAAGGGGTCTGTCAACTGACCTAAAAAGATGTCCATGGGACATGGGATTAAGGGAGAAAAGCAAGCTGCAGCAGACTGGATGGTGCAGGTGTCTGTGCTAGGATACGTACGCTAACCACGCCCACTCCACGTTAGAGACTGTCCTGACTCATAGCGACCCTGTACACAACACAGCAAAACCCTGCTCAGTCCTTGCATCCATCTCACAATCGCATCTGTGTGAGCAGCACATTGTGTCAATACAACTTGTTCAGGATCTTCCCCTTGGAGGATGTCGTTTTCCAGGGACTCATAATGTGGCCAAAAGCACACGAGCTGAAATCTCCCCATCCTCACTGAGGACAATTCTGGCGATACTTCTTCCAAGACAGATTTGCTTTTTCCTCTGAGGTAGTTAGTTCATTGTGCCAACCTGGCCGATAAACACAGGTGGGGTTAATTGAAAGGCAGAGGGATAAATGGCTCGGTGAGCCTCGCCTTTCGAGTTCTCAGGTCTCTTGCTTTCTAATGGTCGGACCAGGGTGCAGCTGCCTTAGCCAGTTCCCTGCTTCAACTGGCCAAGTCTCACTTCCTGCAAGACACCCCCGAGAAGCCACATGGACCTACCCCGATGCAGCCCTGGGTGCTGGAGCAGCCGTGTGGAGACCCCTGCCAGCGCTGAGATGCTGACACGTTCACTGATTCAGCTTTCCTCCTGCAGTCGGCGTCATGGTGTGTGTTTTGTGAGATGGAGGACTTTGTGGATTGGGGTCAGACATATGGGTTAATGTTGGACTTGTGGGCTTGGGCAGCACTGGGTTGGGATGTTTTCTTGATGTGCACTTAACCTTTCTATAAAACACTCTTTTATCCATATGAGTTTCTGTGGATTTGTTTCTCTTAAGTACCCAGACTGACACAAAGTCCAGGTATATTTAATATTCCTCACCGACACCTTAATTCAGATATCAAGTCTTCTCCGTTCTTGATTCAGTTTCCCAGGCACAGGATCAACTGAAAACACCGTGACCTGGTTCAGAAACAAGTACCTTCGTCTTCAAAATGATAGACGCTTGTTAACACTTTTAAAGAGAGAGATTTAGAAGCAGATTTGCTCAGTGCAATATGTTGTTTGAGTTCCTGACTGGTTCCTTCCATGGGCGTTGATTGTGGATCCAAGTAAAATTAAATCCTCGACAATTTCAGTAGCTTCTTTTAATCCTGGTACTGCTTATTGACCCACTTGTGAAGATGTTTGTGTTCTTTATGCTCAGGTGTAAGCCACACTGCAGGTTGTAGTCTTGGATCTTCATCAGCAGGTGCTGTAAGTCTTCTTCGCTTTTAGCCAGCAAGGTTGTGTTATCTGCATACTACAGGTTGTTAATGAGCCTTCCTCTGATCCTCATGCTGCATACATTTTTTTTACATAAATCGTTTATTGGGGGCTCTCACAACAAACCATACATCAATTATATCAAGCACATTTGTATAAGTTGCCATCATCATTTTAAAAACATTTTCTTTCTACTTGAGCCCTTGATATCAGCTCCCCCAACTCTCGTGAACCCTTGATAAATTACAAATTATTATTGTTTTCATATCACACACTGTCCACTGTCTCCCTTCACCAACATTTCTGTTGTTTTTCCACTTTGAGGGGTGGGAGAGTTATACATTGATCCTTATGATTGGTTCCCTTTCTCTCCCTTTTCCCACTACCCTAATAATATTGCTACTCCCATTACTGTTCTGGGGGTGGGGGGGATATCTGTCTGGATTCTATGTGCCGAGAGCTCTTATCTGAACCAGTGTACATGCTCCAGTCTCTCCGGGTTGTAAGGCGGAACTGGGGTCATGATAGTGGGGGGCAGGAAGCATTAAAGAGCTAGAGAAATGTATGTTTTGTCTGTACATAAGAGTGTTATGTGTAACAATACACCCTGGCTGACTTGTCCCTTCCTTGTAGCCCTTCTGTGAGGGGATGTCTAATTGTCCACAGATGGGCTTTGGGTCTCCACTCCGACACTGCTCTTTTGCATGAGTATGATTGTTTTGGGTCTTCTGATGCCTGAGCCTGTCAACACTTCGTGATTTCACAGGCTGATTTGCTTCTCCCATGTGGGTTTTGTTGCTTCCCTGCTAGATGGTCCCGTTTAACTTCAAGCCTTTAAGACACCATATCTTTTTTTTAAATTATGAATTTCTCTATTTTGCTGTCTCTTTCAATAAGCGAACACCACCAGCTTTCTTCACCACATTTGCTTATGCGCTCATTTTGTCTTCAGCGATTGGGTTGGGAAGGTTTGAGTGTCACGTCACAGAATGCCAGGCTATTAGAACAAAGTGTTCTTGCTGCGTGCTTCTTTGTATTATTCGTGCAGATAATTTGCTCAGCAGTGTCGTGAAGGAAGCACATCTGAGAGGTCTCATTCCGTACCCTTGTTCTCTATAAACAACTGCCCCGTGTGGTCTGTGTACACGTTCTGTGGGGCACAATGAAATCAGCTCTGGGATTCTCATCTTCCTCAATGCTTTCCATAGTTTGTTATGATCCACAGTCAAATGCCTTCGCATAGGCAATAAAACACAGGTTAACAGCTTTTAGCCAAGATCCGTCTGATGTCAGCAATGAGTATCAGAGACCTTCACTTCTACACCACATTTCTCTAAGGTTTCCACTTCTTTCAACATTTGCTTTGGGCATATTTTGCTTTTGTAACTCTAATATTTAAAGAAATGCATTTCTATAATTATCATTTTGAACAGCTATACTGTATTATATAACACATATGTATCATGACGTACCAGTAACTGAATTCCCTCCTATACTTGAAGGTTGTTTTCAATTTATATATAGACTGTACTACAAGATACCCTAACCACCAAAACGGAAATCCCAACTCACTGTCCCTGAATTCCAAGCAATCCCAACTCAGTGACTTCGGAGGGCAAGGGAGGACTGCCCATGTGGGCTTCTGAGACAACTCGTTAGCGAACACCACCCCCACCCCCCCACCCCCCATGGAGCAGCGTGGTTTTAAACGGCTGGCCTTGCACAGCCCAAGCTGCAACCAGTGCTCCTGCCTGTGCTTTAGCCACTAGGGGCGCGAACTTAGACATTACCAAGTAGGGATGAGGAACAACTGTAGCTCTCTCACACCACTGCTGAGGGTGTTATGTACATTTATACAATGACTTTTTCTCACCATCCACCAACTCTGAAGTTACACACACTACCCAATGACACATACAACATGTGAAAATGCATGCGATTTGTAGAGCAAAAGATCTGCAAACATATGCAAAGCAGCACTAAGGAAACAGTCAACTGTCCATGGGCAGGAACATGGGTAAGCGCATGGGGAGCGTTCATGCACACAGTGGGATACCATGGAGGAAGCTACATGTCACAAGGATGGTTCTCAGAAAGGTAAGGTTGCATGAATGGTGAAGCCAGACGTAGATAACTATACAAATCTATGTATAAATACAGTTAAAGCACACACACACACCCCGCTCCCCCCCAACCCCCAAAACAAAACACGGGCAAATATGTCTGTGGTGGGAGAGTCAGGAGGAGGTTTGTTCTACGGATCAGAGTGATGGATACATCCAGTGGGTTCACCTTACAAAAATTCTACGCTGTTTTCTATGTTAGAGTTCCTTGAAAGTAATTTTTTTAAATCGTTTTATTAGGGGCTCATACAACTCTTATCACAATCCACACATCCACCAATTGTGTAAAGCACATTTGTACATTCATTGCCCTCATCATTCTCAAAACATTTCCTCTCCACTTAAGCCCCAGCATTAGGTCCTCATTTTCCCCCTCCCTCCCCGCTCTCCCCTCCCTCATGACCCCTTGATAATTTATAAATTGTTATTTTGTCTTATCTTGCCCTGTCCCACGTCTCCGTTCACCCACTTTTCTGTTGTCTGTCCCCCAGGGAGGAGGTCACATTTAGATCCTTGTAATCAGTTCCCTCTTTCCAACCCACTCTCCCTCTACCCTCCCAGTATTGTCACTCACACCACTGGTCCTGAAGGGATTATCCGCCCTGGATTCCCTGTGTTTCCAGTTCCTATCTGTACCAGTACATCCTCAGGTCTAGCCAGACTTGCAAGATAGAATTCGGATCATGATAGTGGGGGCAGGGAGGAAGCATTTAGGAACCAGAGGAAAGTTGTATTTTTCATCATTGCTAGATCGCATCCTGACTGGCTCATCTCCTCCCAGAGGCCCCTCTGCAAGGGGATCTCCATTGGCCTACAAATGGGCTTTGGATCTCCAGTCCGCATTCCCCCCATTATTCACTATGGTAAAATTTTTTGTTCTGATCCTTAAAAATAATTTATCTTAACAAAAAACCCAGATGCTACTGCTCAGGTCAATAAAAAACTAAAATAAAATGAACCTAAAAATCAAACCTGGCTCTGCCAAGTACCCCTGTGTCGGGCACCCCTGGCCCCTGGCTCTATGGGAGGTTGAGTATCGACAAGTGACAAGGGAGGGCTCTGGAATCAGGGACTGGGGTTCTGATTATTGATCCCATCAACACTGCCTAAGGCAAAATCTAGGCAAGAAATCTGACTTCTCACTAAGTCCCCATTTTCTTAGTTTCTTCAATGGATGTAACAATCGCATCATTAGGTGGCTGGGAGGTTTCAGAGGAGGCCTGGTGGTGTGATGGGTGACCACTCAGCTGGGAACCTAAAGGTTGGCAGTTCAAATTCTCCAACTGCTCTAAGGGACACCAATGTGGCAGTCCGCTATGAGATTATAAGGAGATTTTCCCCAGCTTTGTCTCCCCCAAAGATATGCCAAACAGTATAGGCTATTTGCCAGCATATAGTGGAAGGTCAGATGCTTAAAGATATTCTCCCTGAGATATGATAAAATAATAATTTATAAATTATCAAGGGTTCCTGAGGGAGGCAGGATCAGGGAGGGAGGGGAAAAATGAGCTGATGCCAGGGGCTTAGGTGGAGAGCAAATAAAATGACTAAAAAATAAAAGATATTCTCCCTGAAGGCATTCAGACATCAGTCTGGTCCACTGTAGGTGTGGTTCACATCCTGCTGATAATGGTTTCAATGGAGAGCCAGAGAACAAGTCAAACCTATTCAGTGACATCCAAAGTTCGGTTGCCATCCAGAATCTAGGATCCGCCCATCTTGTCACATGTATGCCCCCAATTATTCCCCTTCCTATTCCGTGTATGTCCCTAGATTGTCCCCCTCTCATTACTGTATTACCTATAGTGCAACTCCTTCCTGTAAAACGTATGTCTTTACCTGTAATTAGGTGGCTTGCAAGCCCCCAAAGATATATAAGCCTTGGTGAGCAATAAAGAAGCTCTCTCCTAGCTCCCCTCTTCCCTTTCCCTTGTCTTCCTTCCCCTCACCCTCTCTCCTGCCCTCCAGGTCTCCCATCTCCACATGGACCACCAAGCGGGATGAGGTGAGCATGCTACCAAGAAATGTGTCTGACTCCATTATTTTCATTTCTCTTCTATCTCTCATGCTCTATATGACTCTCTCTATATATACACACACACACACACACACCGTACAATTGTGCCTATCGAACCCGGGATTACTTGTGGGAGGCTGGCCTTCCCTTATAGTCTGCTTCCATAGAGATTTCAGCTCTGGGAACACAAGGGGTCAGTCCTATAGTCACAATGGCTGGTCTCTTGCTTTGAAGAGATTTAAATGAGAAATTACAACAGACATGAATCTCCTTCTCAGATTGACTTTATGAGTGTGTTAAGCTTTTCTGGTGCATTCTCACAAGGCTGCAATTCTTCCGCTTCCAAGACAAAAATCCCACTACTGTTGAGAGGATGCTAACTCATAGTGACTCTGCAGGACAGGGTAGAACTGCTCCACATGGTTCCCAAAACTAGGAATGAACTTCACGGAAGCAGACAGCCCCATCTTTCTCCCACACACCATGTTGAATAAAAATAAAAGCCAGGCCTAAGCGTACAAGAACTGTACACATCAACTGGGTAGGCTCCACCTGCTGACCCCTCAACTCGCTGCCCAGTGCTTAGCCCATGGTGCCACCAAGCTCCACTCTCATCTACCTGCCACAAACCAAACTCCCTGCCATGGAGTCCACGCCAACTCATGGTGAGCGCTAGGACAGGGCAGAACTGTCCCTGTACGTCTTAGAGAAGCAGAAAGCCTCATCGTGTTCCCTCAGAGCAGCTGATGGTCTCAAACTGCAAACCTTGTCATTAGTATCCTACTGAGTAAGGCACTATGCCATCAGGGCTCCTCTTCCTCTCTGCACAAACAAATGATAATGTATCCCGCCAGGTCCCACGGCTAGCAAGAGCAGAGGCAGAGACAGGACTTAAACGACAGGGGTCAAGCTGCTATTGCCAGGCCCTCTGAAGCCCCTCTTGCTCAGCGCTGATACCCTTAGGACCCTCCACCCATGAGCCAGACCCCGCCTCGAGACACACCTTCAGCCTCTCATTCTCCAGCTTGAATGCAGAATACTCAGCTGTCTGCCGGTGTAGTCTCTCCACCAGGCTGTCCCGATCTTCGCGCATCTTCTCCTCCAGGGTTTGTTGTTGGTTTACCAGATCTGTCACCCGGCTGGCAGGGTACAGAGCAAAAGCAGACAGAGATTCAATAAATCACAGGCAGTCCTGCCTGCGTGAAGAAACATCTGACTTGTGGACGATTGGTACTTGCAGTATTATACAAATTTGCCCTCACTCTGCAATGACTGCACCAATTCCTACTCACGACAGACTCGCCGCAATCACCTTCACCAACACAACTGACGAGAAGACGAGGGAACCGATCCTGCTCTTGACCTGAGCACTGCCTGGATGTAGTCAGCTTCTGAAGAGCTGGGTCTCTGCGTGGTGTGGGGCCTAGTGTTGCTACCCATGCCACGCCCTACCTCTTGGCACCCAGCTGCTCCCCAATCTCCACCCCAAATGGCAGCTGCACTGCTTTGCCTTGGGTTGTCTGGTGAGAACGACTCACAGGTGTCAGTGAATTAACAGGGTGAATTGTGTTGGCCATCCTGCTGGGTCTAAAATGAACCATCTTCGAAGGAGGAAGGGGGATTATCACTGTCACTGAGAAAAAACGTCAGGAGGAGAGTACATCCTTTGGACCCGAAGATCCCTGTGCATTGAACCTCCCCTGGGGCTACAAGACAGCTTTGGCACTAGAGCAGCGGCAAAGGAGCCGTAACAACAGAACCAGGAGGCAGAGCATGAGGCAGAGCACCGGACTTCCCAGGCCACAGAGCTGATGAAGTTAGTGCTTTGGGAGAGGAGACGGGCTTGGGGAGAGGGCTGCATCTGGGAACTTAAATGGGGAGCGGGTTTGCTGGACCACAGAACTGGGAGTGAGTACCTTTGGGCTGAGGCTTGCAGGAGTAGCAGACCCTTTGGGCATTTACTTAAAGTGCTTTGTAATAACATTGCCCGACGGGGGCAGAGGTCAGGACAATGAGGGTGAGGACCACAGAGATGCCTGCCTGCAGATACGGCAGTGAAGAAACCGTCCTGTCTGAACAGCAGTATCCTGAGCATCTCCTCCCTGAATCGTTCCCAGTCAACATGCTAATAAACCCCACAATGAGCACGGTCTAGCAGTTCTGGGTGTCACTGCAATGAATTATCAGACCCAGCTGAAAAGCGGAGTGCTGGGCAGGGAGGGTCACTGAGGATGACCAAATGGTTACTTGACAGCTCAAGAAAAACCGAAGTTCAAATTACCTGCAACTGAATAGTCACTTTTGCCCCCGCTTCCTATGCCATAGCACTGACCTGCTGACCAGCTGGCCTTGGCCAGACAACTGAATGAAGGCAAAGAGATCATCAGCTGTCCCCATGCCCCAAGACAGGAACGAGAACCCCACAATGCCATCTGCCATGCTGCAGACTGGGAACAGAGGCAATACCTTCAGAGACCAACTTGGACTTAGGCCCCGGAGGGCAAGGCCAGGGCTTTGTGACCAGAGAAGCTCAAGCCCTCAGGGTGCCTGCCAGGAGGGAAGGATCCTAGGGTAAGGCCAGAGCTTGCACTTCAAGCTGGAACTGGCTCAGGGCTACCCACATCTCACCCGATAAGAGTCCATGCCCCATGGAGACCCAATGGCAACCACCTGAGCGGCCAGACCACGGGGCTCCTTCCACTACACACCCAAGCCTCCATCAGCTCAGCCACCCTCCCTCTCGGCACACAAAGACATACTCGTTCAGGACGATGATTTCCAGCTCAAGGTCTCCTTTGTCTTTCACAACTTGGTTGTAGCGAGTCCGCCATGATTCCAGAGTAGACAAAGCTTCAGCAACATAGAGATCCTGGGAACACAGGACAGACAGCAGGGCCCGTCAACCTGATGGTCAGCACTGAGGTCTCAGGGAGCCATGGGCTGGCCTCACCTTGAGTGATCCCACACCCTGGAAGCTTAAACCTCACTCCTGCAAGTCACCTTGTTAGAGAACACCGAGAGGGATCATGGGAGCTCAGGTCCAGACTGTGAGAAATCACATACTGGCAGACTCCAAATCCTTCCTTACCATCAGAATGCCAGTGGCTAAATTACTCGCCCACCCATCTGACCCTACAACTCCCACCCTCGGCCAACCAATCAGCTCACCTACCAGCTCACACCCCCTTTCCACCACCACCTGGTCACTTCTCGCTAGCTTTTCCACTTCTACCCACCTATCCATCCACCCAACCCAACCTCCCTCATTAGGTAGCCCTCTCGGGGCAGACAGGAAGTCAACCAGCCCGAACCCCGACTCCACCCCAGGCCTGTCACCTTGTCAGCAAGCTGCACGTGCAGGTGCTCGGCGTACTCCTCGCTCTTCTCAGCTCGCTCCTTCTGGGCTCGGATGGCCTTCTTCAAGGTCTCTTTGTCGCGGTCGCCCTTCTGCTTCAGTTCCTTCAGCTGCTCCATGATGGCCTCTACTTCTGCCTTGTGCTGGTTCCCGCTGCGCTCCAGGTTCTGGGAGGAGGCGGGGACCGGGAACAAATCCAGGGAGAGGGAAAGAGACAAGAAAGGCGGTGGGGAGGCAAGGCAGGAGAGTCATGGGAGAGAGGGTTGAGAGAGACAAGCCAAAGGGAGGAAGCAGAGAGAGAAGCCAGTTAGCAAGCATGTGGAGGCTGTGAGTGCCACTGGTGCAGGCCAGACACAGCTACTTCTGGTTCCCCAAGGCCACTACCTTCCCAGCTCTTAACCCAGCGTCTCCACGTCAGGACAGAACAGCCCTGGGATCCTTCTCCCGGGCTTCTTAGCACTTATCACACTGGGCTTTAATGTCTGGTTTAGGTCTGCGTCCCACAGGAAAGGGCAGGGGCCACACTGGACGTGTTCAGCTGTGTGTTTGCCCAGCGAGCACAAGCAGGAAGGGAAAAAAAGCTAACTCAGGAATAGGCTGCCGTGCCGTCTGTCCTCACTTCCTTCTCCTCATACCTCACGCACTCGGCAGGGGGATAATCAGCCAATGATCAGAGGCTTCAGGTTCAGAAGATCAATGGGCTCACACATGCACACTATTTGAGATCAGTTGCCTTAAGAACAGGGTCTCTGTTCACTGCTCTTGCCACGGCACCCAGATTCTCTCAGAAGCATGAGTGCTTTGGCAAAGCCAGGCTGGGTGTGAGATGCGTGGCCAGGCAGCTGTCCAGTGGACTGCCAGGCCCTTGCTCCCGCTTCCCCACGGTGGGAGTACCTTGATCTGCATACACAGGCGACTGTTCTCCGCCTCTTTGCACCGAAGCTGAGCCTGCAGATGCCCCCGCATGGACTCCATGGACTTGGAAAGCTCAGATGCGGACTTTGCTTGAGCCTTAGGAGAAACGGAGTCGGTGACGATGACAGAGCCAGCCTTCGAACCCAGCACTCCCCCTCCCAGTGCGCTCTCTCTCGATCCCTGTCTCAGGGATGGTACCTTCTCACACTGGATCTCCTGCAGCAGCTCCTCGAGCTCTTTGTCCTTGTCTTGCAGGAGTAGCAGCAGGCGCTGGGAGAGAATACACAGGCATGTGCTCCCTGGGAAGGGGGAGGAGGACCAACCCACGGGGCACAGAGAGAGGTCGGGGAGTATCCAGCCCCAAGGGCCCGAGAGCCAAATGCACCAGCCCTGTATTAAACGGTTTTGTTTTTTACAGTCAGTGCATAATTCTTTTACAATAAAAAAAAAAGTAGAATCGTGGAAGCCATTAAAAAACACCCAAGACCCTCCAAAGAAATCCCATAATCCCCCCTACAGCCAGATAACCACTGCTAACAAACATGATGAAAGTCACATAACCTACACTCTCACATTCGCCATGTCGCCATCAACTGTCCCACCTCTTTCGAAACAGCTTGGTTTTCCACTCACGGGCGCATCACAGTTGAACCACTTTATCCACAACATGCTGTGCTTACTTACATGTCACAGGAAGAGGGCTGAAAGGGCCCATGTTTTCTCATCTAGCCTATTTTCCACAATTCCAGACCAACACACAGCAGCAGCAAGAGGAAACAAGAAGGCTAAGGCCCGGAGCTGGGGATACGGGCTTAGGAATGATCACCGGGATGGCTCTATCTCCATGCCTCCCTCGCCCAGGCTGGCAGTTTCCAGGGGCCGTTTGGACAGCCATCAAAGGCCAAAGGCCAAACCTTGGGAAAACGACCTCCATGTTCCTTCCCTGCTTTGGAGACCCACCATGGGCATGATGAATACAGCGGGAGCTCCAAGAGGGGTTGAGAAATCTATTCTACTTCTGGTCCAGACCTGCCAGCTGCTTCACCACTTTATACAGATGGTCATGGGACCCCAACCCCTCCACCGCCTTGTTTCTTCCATTCATCTTTGCAACATGCCACCTGGGGAGAGACTGAAATTGTTCAGTCCAAAGGGAGGCCTGTCATCCGTACTCAGAGTCAGGAAATCCAGGCATCTGAACCTGATGATCTAAAAACCCATCAGCACATAGAAGCAATTACAGAAAATTGATCCACAATTTTGCCTTAAATAAAAGCTCTTCTGTAGTAAAATGAAAAAAAAAAAAAAAAGAAAGAAAATCCATCAGCATGATCATCATCCCAAGGGGGGTGTCTGGCTTTGTGGTTCCAGATCTCGAGTGACCCACGAGACTAGCCCCGTGGAGTAGCCAGGACAGGGAAGATCACCCCATTTTCCTGTTGGGGGGTTGGGGTGGGGGTGAAGGGGCTTTATGTTACCGCTTTCTCTGAGTCTGCTTCTGCCAGCCGTTTCAGCAGTGCTCCTTGTTGCTCCATCAGCCTGTCGGAATCCTTCGAGGGAAGCAAGGGGAGACCCAAGTTACCGAGCAGTAAACCCAGGCGTCTATGTTGTGTTGAGTCTTTCCCACAAACCCTGTTTCCTTCTAGGACAAATGAAACCAAGAAAGCCCACATCACCCTCCCACCACCTCCCACGGCTACCAGCTCAGACATTTTCCTCCCAGCCTTTCTCTAGGCAAGCGTGTGTCTCCACTTGTACCTAGAAAAAGGTTCTCCTTTCTTTTTAAGGGGGGTGGGTGGAGGGAGGAGCGACAGGGAGAGAGTCACGTGTATTTTCTCAAAAATGGTATCATATTATATATTTGTGCTGGGACTTTATCTGGAGACATTTCCATAGCAATAAAAATCATTCTGCCTCCTTCTAACTCAGTGTATAGTCATCCAGTCTATGGATAAAAACCAAATACACTCACTGCCATCAAGTTGATGTCTACTGACAGCGACCCTATAGAACAGGGTAGAATGGCGCCTGTGGGTTTCAGAGACTGTAACTCTGTACGGAATAGAAAGTCTTGTCTTTCTCCTGCGGAGCAGCTGGTGGCTTTGAACTGCTGACCCTGCGGTTAGCAGTCCAATGTGTAACCCAGTGCACCACCAGCAGCCTATGGATCAATGGGCCCTTGCATTTTCCGCTCCTCCGCACTGATGAGTACTGTTCCCAGGTCGGCAACTCCACACACTGGAACAGCAATGGCTGGGCAGGGACAAAGTGTCACTCTAGGGTTGGTACTAAGAGGAGGAGTGGGTGGGTCGGAAAGGACTATGATTTGTGGCTGCATTAAAGCCTGCTGAGACGCCCTACAGATGCCACCGATTCCTACTACCACGAGCAGGGCCTGGGTGCTGGGCCACCCACACCCACTGGCACAGAGTAGCAGGCAACCTCTCTCTGTTAGCCAGTTGAATTACCAGTGAGGAGTCCCAGTGGTGCGCAGTGGGTTACACATTAAGCTTTAATCACAAGGTCAGCAGTTCGAAACCACCAGCCATTCCATGGGGAAAATGATGAGGCTTTCTAGAACGGTAAAGATTCCTTCTTGGAAATCCACAGGGGCAGTTCTCCTCCATCCTATAGGGTCACAATCAGTCAGAATGGACTCATGGACCATAAGTCTAAGATTTGAATTACCAGTGAGGCTTTACGTACGCCTATTGGTTAATCTCCACTCTTCCCCTCCTCTGAACTGCATGCCAACAGTCTGTGGAACCCTCCCTGTTCTTCCCAAGCACCTGAACCTTTGTTCTGTGACCCGTAGGAGGAGGTCACCACCACCACCACCCCACTCCTACATGTCCCCTACATAAGCCAAGTGAAAAAAGGCTTCCTGTCTCCTGAAGTCTCATTGGGACCAAGGAGACGGGAGAAGCCAGCACTGTGCTTTCTCCAGCAACAAGAAATCAGAACCCACGGCAGAAAGAAGGCCTAGGTCTGGGACCCGAGATCGAAGCTGCCCTCCCTCATTGCCCCTTGGACCTGTGCCTGTGCATGTCGTGGGGACATAAAACTACCTGACTCTTCTGCCACCATAGGCAGGCACACAGCTCACCAAATCCCCCAGCTCCAAGGGACACTATCACCGCACCCATTTTACAGATGAGACTGAGACCAGAAGTGAGGCAGGCTGCCCGAGGGGTCACAGATGGAAATGGCCCTGAAGCAGATTCTAACTGCAAGCACTCTGCAGGTTCCCCACCCCTCAGCGCTTCCCCGGTCAGCACTCAGATGTAGGGGGAGCAGGGGTGCTGAAGGACAGGCAGGCACCGAGATCAGAGCCTCAGCTCAAATAGGAGCACCGGTTCCAGGTGTGAGTCCAGATTAGCTAACCCTTCATCTCCAGCCAGCGGGAAAAGGTTTCTGGAGGCACTGTAGCACACTAACGGACAGCACGCGTACCTAGCTAACACACACCTCCTCTCTAATTCTCGCATCAGCCCATCAGCAGATCCCATCCTACAGGCGGCAACACGAAGGTCAGAGAGGCAACACTGTCCAGGTACAAGTATTTGAGAGACTAATGTAGCCAAAACTAGTAAAATAGATCGAAATAATCTCGCAATCCTAAATTAAGCACACCAGCACCGTGTCCCTGGGTGTTTACAGTAAGATTTGTAACAGCGCCGAGACCCGGTCATGGTGCTGAAATGAAATGCCTTGGGACAGTGCTTTTAGCCACATCGTTGTCACTCCCACCCAATGAGTGGGCGGGACCACGCAAACAGGGTGTGTGAAAGTCTCAGGGGGCGGGTCAGTAGGAGAGGCCGTCTCAGAAGCAGGGAGGGAGCACAGCAGAGTGCATGTGTGATCCCCATCTGCAACGGCAGGAGCAGCCGTGGGGCCTCAAGTCGCAGCACCAAGACCCTGAGACAGAGCACAAGCAGCATGCTGAGCAGCAGCACCAAGACCACGACACAGAGAGGCAGGTAGCAGGCTTCCTAGGCCACGGAACAAGGCAGAGGACCAAGGGACCACGGGGGTGAGAAGCCAAGGACCAGGAGTGACATGCCAGCCAGTATGGCTAAGAGTAGCACTGTGCACAAAAAGAACTGTATCCTTCAGTTTTCATAACCGGTTGGCTTCCCTAATGAAGCCCATAATCTCAGAATAGTCTGTGAGTTCTGTGGCCATTGCAACCCAGCACTGAACGCAGCAGAGAAGGAGTGTGTCCTGGGAGGGATGGTTGCTGTCCTAACAGGGCGGAGGAAATTAGAGGGTGGGGGCATTTCTGACTGCTGCCTTGTGGCAATCGGCCTCGTGCTGGTATGGAACTGGATTCTCCTGCTCCCTACTGAAGACAGAAAAGGTCGAATGTGGCCTCCATGCCATTTCCTCAGTCAAAAATGGAAGATAGCAGTACAGGTTAATGATCTCAGGCCTCAAGGATAGAACTGAATCAAGTTCATAGAACTCATGTGGAGTGAAAAAAGCAAACTATAAGGAACACACATGGAGCAGTATCACGTATGTAAAATCTAAAAATATGTCATATATACGTTGTTTAGGGTGACGTATGTGGTATAAACCATCAGGCTCAAAAGAAGAGTTCCTTCTGAGGGGGGAGTAAGATGAGGTTCTCGCCAAAGCCTGGCACAAGAGGGACTGGTTTCATTTGTACGCCTAGAGCCTCAGTGGCGGAGTGAACCATGCACACAGTCAGCAGGTGGAACTGTCTGCACCTGTCACAATGTAAAGTCTCAGAGACAGGGTTCCTATGAGTCCAAAGAGACTCAGTAGCTGTGGACGGATGGAGCAGGATGTATACCACTTTGCATTATACTATAGAACTGAAACATGGACTTTAAAAAAGACAAAAAACGAGAGACTGACAATGTTTTAAAAAAGATCTAGAACCAAGAGAAATGCTGTTTTATCAGCACCGGCACTGTGAGGCTCTCAGCATCCCTCCGGCTGGAATCAAACAGGAACACTACTCTTAATGGCTTTTCAGCATCAACAGTCCCCCGCAATTTGGGGGTGCCATTTATGCGCCTTCCTTCTACTTACACAACTCGGGCTTGCACTCTCCTGGCTGTGCCTCGAAAATGGGCTGAACACCTTCCTTGACTCCCCACTGTCCCTCTCCTGACCTCTAAGGTTCCTCCCGGGCCTCCCAGGTCAGTTTCCACAACAACCAAGACAGTTTCTGCCTAATGGCTGCTTAGCACTTTGAGTGATCCCATTAAATCCCCCGGGGTTTGTCAGACCAGACTTCAGTTAAGAAGTCTTTCCCTCCAGCCCCACGGATGGACCAGAGGATGTACACTGGTACAGATAGGAACTGGAAACACAGGGAATCCAGGACAGATGACTCCTTCAGGACCAGTGCTGAGAGTGGCGATACCGGGAGGGTGCAGGGAAGGTGGGGAACCAATTACAAGGATCTACATATAACCACTTCCCTGGGGGATGGACAACAGAAAAGTAGGTGAGGGGAGACATCAGACAGTGTAAGATATAACAAATAATAATTTATAAATTATCAAGGGTTCGTGAGGGAGAGGGAGCGGGGAGGGAGGGGGAAAAAAATGAAAAATGAGGAGCTGATTCCAAGAGTCCAAGCGGAAAGCAAATGTTTTGAGAATGATGAGGGCAACGAATGTACAAGTGTGCTTTACACAATTGACGTATGTATGGATTGTGATCAGAGTTGTATGAGCCCCCAATAAAATGATTAAAAAAAAAAAAAAGATTTCTCTTTCACAATATTCTCTCCATTTTAGAGATGAGGTGACGGAGGCTCAAACAGGAGGGGCATGTAGCCCCAAAGGGATGGAGCTCAGTGGGAACCCTGCTGTCCCCACGGGCCAGGAGCTCACCTCTTTGCAATGCTGTTCCCTTAGCAGGTCCCGGAGGGTGCGGTTGGTCTCCTCAAAGGTGCTCAGCTTCTGCAGGAGAAGCTCCTTCTGCCTCGTCAAGGTGTTGATGTCCGTGCAAGTCATCTGTTTCTCCTAGAAGACAAGCTGGTGGACTCAATGTGCGGGGGAGGCGGCGGGAGAGGGTGGCGGCACAGAGGCAGGAGCGGTGGGGAGCTTACGTAGTGCTGGGTGCCAAGATGCTTAACTAACAACAACTAAGGTCTAAGGTCCTGTACAGGGTCAGGGTCGTTAAAACAACAGGTTTCCAGGAGGATGGAGGAGGTCGGACTAGGAGGATGGACAGGACTCAGAATCTGCTGCAAGAGGAGGGAAGAGGGCCGAAGAGCTTCCTGGGGGTGGCAAGGGAGGAGGGATGACACTTGGTGGCTTAGACTTGCGGGAATCGGCCGCAGGCCTTGCCTCAGTATGACCCTGGGAGACCCATGATGAGGTCTCCTCAGAGGCCCTGGCCACCAGAGGTCATCTTTAAGGGCTAGCGGTCTGGGGAGTAGAGTACGGGGGAGGGGCTTAGAGGCCAATGGTGTGCTCTCTGAGCTTGATTATGTCATAGTCAGCCTGGTGACAACACAAAGACCCCCCCCAGGCTGGGGTACCCCTTCTGAGTCCAGCGCCCAGCCCTGGGGTTGTCCAGCTTGCTGGCCTCCTACCGTTTTCAGCTTTCCGATGGTATCCTTCAAGGCCATGACCTGCTTGGCTGCAGCAGCGCCGTCCATCTCGGCCTCGACCAGTTTGGACATGAGGCACTCCTTCTCCTGCTGGAGGTGTTTCTTCTGAAGCCTGGGGCCGGACAGAGCGGCTCTGTGAGCGCTCCCGGGCCCTGCCCATCCAGAGCTCCGAGGCTCGCCTCACAATGCCCTGCCAGGTCCCTCTCCTGGTCAGGGACCGTGGGGGATGGGAGGCAGATGGCGCTTCCGGCCTGAGTAGCCTCTGGAAGGGCATGGGTCAGAAGTCACTGTCCCATCTAGGCATCAGACCAGGGCGCCTCCACAAGGGTGATGCCACCAGTGGTCCTAGCCCTCACCCGTGCGGCCTGTCCTACATACCACTACCATGGGCTCCTGTCCACTTCTCCCAGATGCACTGTTGAGCACCCCCATCTGCCCTCCACACTGCAGCCAAGCCCAGTCACTCCATTCCCCTGCTTCTGAAACCTCCCTTTAATGAGCTGGTCCTGGCCAGCCTCACTGAAACCTCTTGCTTTCTACCCACCTCCCTTTCAGGTCCTGGCCCTCTGCCCATTTTTCAATTGCAAACTTTCCCACGCACACTGCTCCCACTATCTCGCATGCTTCTGACCCCACCCCCCAAGATCCCACCTGGTGTCAACTCTTCCAGAAACCTTTCTCCACCTGACATCATCGCATCTAAAAACCCTTCTCCACCAGACATCTCATCTAGAAAGCCTTCCCTCCTCCCACTATATTCCTCAGACTGTGAGCCCGTAATGCAAAGGGGCAATTCCTTGTGTGACTTCCTTGTGTTGACCAGCTACCCCTGAGGCCAGAGGGTCCTCTCTGGAGCTGAGCGCGGCCCGGCCTGGGGGCGGCGGGTGCCATCTTACACGGTGTAGTCCTTCTCCTCCTTGATGCGCTCGATGTTATGCCGGAGCACTGTGTTCTCGTGCTCAGTCTCAGCCAGCTCGTGGGCCACCTCTTCTAGTTCTTCCTTCCGCTCCTCCAGGAACCGCTTGGCCATCTGGCGCTCGCCCTTCTGCATCTTGACCTGCACAAGGGCACGCAGGCAAAGGCCAGAGGGGAGGTTTTACCTCACGGCTCACAGTTACACCTATCACTTTGCCCCCAAATATGGACACCTCGGATTTTTGAGAACACTGTAGCTATAAAGATCCTGTGCCAGGGCTTTTACGGGAAGCAATCTCAGTGAAGCCTTCCAAGGCCTCTCTGGGTAGATAGCATTTCTCTCCCTTTATAGAGGAGAAGACTGAGAGGAGAGCCAGGATTCAAGCCTTGTGTGGTTCAGCTGGCCTATCATTGTCACTAAAAAGTCCCCAGCACCTGTAGGCTTAGAGGAAAGAGGCTGTTGCTAGGCAGCCAGCCCCAGGTTCTCCAGAAGGTTCTTAGGGCCTCAGGTACAGGGTGGAGGATTAAAGACACAGGCCATGTTAGCAGTCAAGACCTGGATCGATTGGCAGGTCCAACTTCCTAGTTGGGAGTCTTGGACATCCGGGGGTCTGATTCCAATTCCATTGCCATCTCCCGTCCAAAGAAATGGTTGAGCAAGTAAGGTCAAATTTCCTTGGCCTCTTTGGGGCTATTTTGGTTGTCATTTCATGTCTAAAATAGGGTCAACAGCTTAATGATCAGATAGAGACTGGTGGGACCCCCAAGACTAGGTCCCTTAGCCAACCTTCAGGTCTGAAAGGGAACTCACACTCAGGGCTCAATTTTCAGCCAAACAACAGGCGGGTCTATAAGGAGAACAGTAGCACGAGAGGTTGGCTCACCTTTGAATAATGAACCATTTGAAACCAAAAAGGCGGCAGTGACACAAGGGCAAAGTTTAAAAGAGTTGGGAGAGAAGGAGGAAGAGGAGGAGGAGGAGGGAAAATGGGAAACAGAGTAAGACGAGTGACATGACGTTATGGGGATGGTAATCCATGACATGGAGCAAAATCTGTACGGGCTGTTGAGTGGAAAACTGATCTGCTCTCTCTACCCTTACCTAATTGACAGTATAAGAAGTTTTTAAAGGTAAATTAGTAAAATGGGGACAATAATACTCCCAGCTTCATCAGTTAAGGAAAAAAATAATTGAGACAAGCCATTCATGGAGTGCAGGAGGGTAAGAGCCAGCCTTGCGTTAAATGCTCAGTGTAGCTGGCCCCTATATGGAGCTGTCCTCAGCTACCCACAGTCCTGGGCCACTTGGGAAAGTAGAGGAGGCAACAGAGGCAGGCAGTCTGTGGGGAAGGGCCACCAGGACTTCACTGGCCATTTGCATGCATCCTCCCACATCCCACAGTCCCCCAATCACCTCACCTCAGACTTGAGACAACCAACCGCGTTCATTAGACTGTCAATTTTCTGATCATAACGGTTAATTTTACAGTGACCAGAGTCGTCATCTTCTGTTGAGAGGTCGCTTAAGCGCATCACTGAGACCAGTTTTTCTGAAGATGGTGGCGTGATTTCCAGGCAATGAGGTGGATTCTGACATAGACGAAGGAGAGACATGAACCTCAGACATCCGTCCACCACGCCTGGTTGTCCCCTTTGTTAAGAGGAGGGGAAATGGCCAACAACAGGGACCCAGGGAAGAAGCATGGGCAGCGCTCACTCGATGGCCCATATTTAAATGTTTGGAAGAATCACTTAGACCGAATTTAAAAGCTTCATGATAATGAGAAGTTGGAAAAATAAAAGATATCAAAAAAAACCTGGCAGAAATACTAGTACCCAGAATTGGCAGGTATAGGGCAATAGACATCTTCTATTGGGTGGAAATGAAATATTGCGAAAGTATTTTACGTGACTCAAGAATGATCAAAGTTTGAGAAACGATGTACAAATGCGCTTTACACAATTGATGTGTGTATGGATTGGGATAACAGTTGTATGAGCCCCTAATAAAATGTTAAAAAAAAAAAAAAAAAAAAAATTAAAAAAAAAAAGAATGATCAAAGGTGGATTAATTATGGGGTGGGCCAATCTACAGTAAAAGGTGTAGGAACTCAAATAGGGGGCAGGTATTTTTATGACACGAAGACATTTTGTTTCTAGGACTGATCATTGATACTTTGACTACAGATAAAACAGTAGGAATGCATACTGAACTTTTAGAATGGTGTTATGGTCTGGAAAATACAGCAGCCTGAAAGATATAGAATCCTTTAATGCATATGTTGGGCTGCATACTTTTCTTTGAAGACTCCATTAAAAACAGTAACAAAGTATTATAAACTGAAGTCAAGGTTCCCTTGGATTTTTGATATACTAAACTTGACTCTCCTGTTTCTTTTTTCCCCCCCCCCGTAAGTTTATTCTGACACACTACCTAATTATCACTTCTCCTGGCAGGTGCGGCTCTTTGCCCTGTTAGGCTGAGGTGACTAATCTTCTGTGCCTGGTTTTTGGCTGTCAGGATCAGAAAAGAGTACTCAGTAAGGGTCTTCATTGTTTAGCGACTAGGACTCACAGGGTGTGATTTAAAAATTGCATGTGCCCTTTGCCTACAGCAATTCTATTTCTAGGGATTAAGTGAGAGTAACTCAGAATGCCAATCTGTTGAAATTCAAGGCAAAGGTGAAGTTAAATGTAGAACAAGATAGTACTGGTTAAATCCATACTGGTACAAACACACACACAATGGAATACGGCCTTAAAATAAATCATGTGCAAAATAAATAAATCATGTGAAGTGTAGATATAATCAAGATAGGTGAAACAAAAAAGATGTTGACACACAGCAAGTAAAATATGATCCCATTTTTACAAAAATTAAAAGAATGTAACAATTCCATACGTGAGTTAAGGCAGCCTTCCCATTTAGAGTTTACATGGAGTCTCTTATATGGGTGGCGGGATCAAAAACAGTTTTTAAAGGAAAAGGGTTCTTTTACTTTTTAAGAGTATAATAATATCAAATCTACAAATACCATGACTACCACCTTAAAACCCACTGCCAGCAAGTCAATTCCGACTCCTAACAATCCTACAGAACAGAGTAGAACTGCTTCCTAGGGTCTCTGAAACCGTAAGTCTTCTTGGGAGTAAAAAGTCTCAACTTGTTCACACAGAGTGGCTGGTGGGTTTGAACTACTGATCTTGTGGTTAGCAGCCCATCACTTAACGCTGAAGCATCAGGGGCCCTTGATTACGCAAAGTGTGAGAGAAGCTGGTGCTTTTGTTTCTGGCTGGGTCATGCTTACGCACGGGCCACTCAGGTGCATTCAAGTTTGTAAAACTTCACTGAATGGGAACCGATGACAAGGATCTACATGTGACCTCCTCCCTGGGGGATGAGCAACAGAAAAGTGGGTGAAGGGAGACATCGGACAGGGCAAGACATGACAAAATAATTTATAAATTATCAAGGGCTCATGAGGGAGGGGGGAGCG